AGAGCTACATCTGTGCAAACCACAGGCATGAGTTTCATTGATTTGGATGGGTAATTTATTTCTGACTCCGCAAGGCAAACCCATGGGGACCAGCAGTCAATACCAGTAGAAGTGGATTAGCACAAGAACACGTATCTTTTGGGTCAGTGGGCAGAAAAAATAGTTATTATTCCTATTAGTTCAGATGCTGGTGGAAAAAGAAAGGAAAAAGTGTCAGCTGCAGGCTCTATATATCGTATTTCTACTTTTTCTTTGACAAATTACAAAATCTGCCACTATTCTGTTTGGTGGGGGTTTTTTGTTCTTTGTTGGGTTTTTTTTTATTATGTTGATGCATTTTAAACAGGAAGAAATAAGAGAATAGGGACAGAGCTAGTCCCTGTTCTCATCTCACCTTCATGCATTGTGTAACTCCCTAATGGCTGAGATCCTGTTCAAGACTCCTCATTGTCAGTGTGTTCAGGTCTCGAGGGACAAGACCCACAGCTTATATTCAAGACAATATATTCCTGTCTATGAATAACATGAAGAAATTAATCCTTTTTTTTTTTTTCTTTTGCCTCTCACGTGGCCTTAATGAAGATTTTCAAACCCTGTCTCCCCAGGGCAATGGGTATCACCTAATATCTTCATTTAAATATTCTCTCCCTGCCTCAAGCCCCAGACTGAAATCTGAAAACCAGGAAAATTGTTCACTCCAGGCTTAGCAAGCAACCTACAAACAAGTTTCTGCAAATAACTAGAGCTTTAAACTAAAAAACCCACAGCATAAAGAGGAAATATGGCCAAGCTTAGAGGTCTTTACCTTTATAGGGATGCTGAAGTCAAGGCATGAACCTGATGAAACTTGATATAAAAGACTTTTAAAACCAGGACAAAACCGATTTTTACAGCATTGTTCCCATGTGAAGTAGATAAAACTTTCCACTTTCCTCCTGCCCCACTCTCTGTGCTCCCAAATGTCTTTCCTTCTCACACAAGAGATAATTTGCCCCTCTGGAAAATGTGAGCTTTGTGGGGAGCTTTTAGCTCCATGTGGGGAGCTTCTCCCCTGGGAAGGAAGGAAGAGCTCCTGATTAGCTCCTCCAGTTTGCTCTCATTCACTTACAGATATGGCAAGATTTCCAGAAGTATAACTGGCCTTGAAATTTTGAAGATCCATGAACTTCTGTCCTCCAAGACCTCTGTTGGATGTAGTTTTGGAAATCCTGCTGGAGACTACATGTAGCCCTTCTCCAGCAGCACTTGATTGCTCCATCTCAGGTGACTAAATTTCTTCCAAGTTATTTCTAGACATTCATAATGTTTCTTCATTGCCAAGAAAGCACAGAAACAGCCTGTCCAGGAAATCTGTGTGTGTGAGGCTTCATTTCAGGCACTCTTGCCAAGAGCAGGGATGTGAATGCTTCTCCTCACATGAGTAGAAACCTCCAAGTCATTGTACTTTTTCTGGTGAAAATAGTAACATGCTTCAAGCACACATGGACATCTTGGTTCAAGCTCCAACTGACATTTTTGCTTTGTTGGGTGAAAGGTTTGAGCCCAAAGTCCTTATTCATAAAAACCTCCCAGTAGCTGTGGGAGTGAAAATTGATATCTAGACCAAGATTTGGCCCTCAGTTCAACTGTCTAACTGGAGTTTTTCTGTGATTCAACATTAAGAAGCAAATGATGCCAAATGTAAGAGTTAGAAGTGGGGAAGAATTAGGAAAACACACATGAATAAATTGCTCCTTGTCTCCAGTTCTTTCAAATATTACAAATATTTAGAGTGCACAAATGTCACATCATCAAAAAGCTCAAACTCAGCAGGTATTCAAGGTTACCCTCCCACATGTAACAGTCATCCAGGTAGAAATGATGCTGTGTGGCCTCACAAACCAGTCACTGATTCTGGTAGACAATCAAAATAGGAAGACCATAAAAAACTGGTGTGCTGGTTAAAATTATTTATCCAAGCAACTTGATGAATACCTATAAATAAGAAATACAGTAGCAGTGACTGGAGTTGGCTCAAAAATTATCCACAATTAATAAATCGACCCATCCTATGTACTGTGTTATTTTCCCTGACATTTTCACAAGCTACAAATCTGATAATACAATTAAATGACAAGTTCAATCACTTCTTTATTTCATGTATATGTATAATATAATATTTTATAGCTGTATTACAGAAATGACTGTTTACTCACGTTGTATCTTCCCTAGCATAATTCAGAGCTTTGCTTGCCTAAGAAATTACTTGTCTGCATTTTGATTAAAAAAGCAAAACCTCATTGTTCCCGTGGCAAATGAATTCAGTCTTTAAATGAAACTCATTGTCACATCCTTTTCTATGAAGCAAAGGCATTCAGCTTCTGGAATGGCTTTAACCTCCAGCACAGCACTTTTGTGTCTGTATCTGATCCACCCATAATTCATCCCTCTTCCAAAGCTTTGTCAGTGTTTGTGCTCTGTACTTAGTTCCCAATGAACTGGCTATAACGCAGTAGTTACAGCTCCCTGGAAAATGACACACAGTAACTCTGTCAAGTTTTTTATTAGCTTGGATAGGTCTTTTATTTTAGCAATGTCTTTTATTACCTCGGATAGCTTTGAACTGGTTCTGAAGTGGATGAGTGAAGACCTGGAGATCCAATTTTATATTGAGAGCCATTAATTTTTTTTAACCACAATCCCTTGATTATTGATAGGCTTTTGTTCTTTACAGTCATTGCACAACACATTGTTTGAAGTGAATCAGAGCTCACAAACTTCCACAGGTACCTGCTGGAGTTTGGATAGGACATAGCAATTAGCCAGCAGAAGTCCTTTGACTTTCAGGATGCAGGAGGCATCTGCTCTTGACCAGAAGCTACTCTGATCTTTTCTGTTCCATATTATTTCTCAGAAACAATCCGAAAAATGTTACAGAGAAAGGAAGAACCTGTAAATCTTGATTTGTGTCTACCCTTTTGCCCATTAATTCCTAGGTAAACACAAACCAAGCTCATTTGGAATAGTTTGGCATTCCACATCCATAACTCTGTGAATCAAGATGCACTCCATCAAAATAAATTAACAGGAGTGAGGGAGCACAATGAGGATCAAGCCCTGGAAGTGGGTAAACTAGGAAAAAAAATTAAAATAAACAGAATTTAATTGAAAAGTCAGTGTCAAAAATGGTGTAAATCCTTGCCAAAAATCACATGTACATCACCGTTATCCCAATTCCCTGAGCCCAGTAACTTTTCTCTTCATTTATGTGCCTTCTGTTACACTTTTAGGACTTCAACACTTGTTAAATTTGAACTGATCTCATAATCTGGATTCCTTGACCAGCATAAAATAAGAAAATGTGTTTTAGAAGAAATTTTGGAAAATGACCAAGAAATTAATTTGCTCCCTTTTTCTAACAGAGACTTCTTTACATTATTAAAGTACTTAAGTAATCTAAAGCTTTAAAATTAAAACAGATTGCAAAATTTTTGATAGCCTTTTCTCATTACAAAAAAAGTGCTGAGAATGCAAAATTTCTCTAATGAACCACAACAAAATTTCCTTACAAGTTCAGTTGTTCAAAGAGGATTTATTTTTAAATTCAAAATCAAAAGGCAACACAATTTAAAGTTTGAGTCTTTTCAAGCTTTTAGTTCTCTGAAATAGCATATGACTATTAGTTGATAAAGCCGAATCCTTTTGTATGAATCAGTCTTATTTATGAATCAAACAAAACTCTATTAATCAAAATTTTTTTTTGTATTTAAGTTCTTTTGCGTTAGAATTCTCTTGGCATTGGGCTATAGCATGTAATGTTTTCCTGTATTTTTCCTTGGATTGTTTGCATCATTGTGGCCTCTAGAGACCCACATCACAGGATAAAAATTCTTGCTGCTGTTAATATGACAATCAATTGCAACAATCCCCAAATTTGTCAAGCAGTAGAATAAATGGAAATCCATGTCTCCCCATGTCCTGCTTGGAAGGGGTTTAGCTGTAGATTTGGCAATACAACAACAAGAAGAAGTCTCATTTTGACTTGAGTGCTAAGGACCCTTTTCTGTTTCTTGCTCCTGGTGTCCATATTGCAGCCATGACTTACAAGGTATGCAATGAAAGAACAAGGGAATGACTTTAAACAGAGACAGGAAGTTTAGATTCAAGCTTAGAAAGAAATTCCTCCCTGTGAGGGTGGTGAGGCCCTGGCACAGGCTGCCCAGAGAAGCTGGGGATGTTCCATCCCTGGAAGTGTTCAAGGTCAGGTTGGACGGGCTTGGAGCAGCCTGGTCTATGGAAGGCGTCCCTGCCCATGGCAGGGGACTGGGGCTAGATGATCATTAAGGTTCCTTCCAACCCAAACCATTCCATGCTTCTGTGACAGAGCAGCAGGGCCAGGAGCTGGGCAAAGCACCTGCAGAAAGCCCCCAAGGAACGGCTGTGGTGAAGGTCCGATGATGCCAAACATTTTCATTTCTCAGGAGAAAAAGTCAGTGGTGCTTGGCAGGATTTGGACTTCTCTGCAAGACACCTCTGATCACAACACATCCTCATGGGTTTGCATTTAATTCTTCAGACTGAGAAGTTTCCACTGCTCTTATGAACTCTGTTGTCAAGATCTCCCAGAGTGATTACACTTTCCTGCTAAAATATTCATACTGTAGGGATCAGCTAAAGTTAAATATAAGGGAAACAATACATTACCCTGCGATTGGACACATCTTTCAAATAGGCTGTTTGTTGGATAAGATTTCACAGGGTGATTAAGGGACGCATAGTAAGGACTAAATGGGCTGGAGAGGGCATTAGGAGCATCCTAGGAGCTGCATGTGGCATGTGGGATAGGGTCAAGGCACTCCAGGGATGTCTTTTCCTCTGCTGCACCTTAAGGGAGAGAGGGGCTGGCTGCTTTAGAAATGTTACTGGTTTTAACCAAATAGCCTTTAAAAACATCTGGAAGCAAATTATAAAATATGGAGAAAAGGCCATAGATGGGAAAGTTTCCATAGTTTTTTTTTTTTTTTTGAAAAGGCACACTATATATGAGTTGCAATGTGAAGGAAAAAGCCAGCATCCTTGATGAATCCATGGCCATTCTCCTGGGTTGGGAGGAGAGGATCTCAGAGCTCATGAAGACCATTCACTGCTGCTTCCACCCCTGCCCACAAACTTGTTCTTGATCTTTTCATGGAAATAGAGCCTAGAGGGGTTCAGCCAGCTCCCCAAGATGGCACAAAGGCAGGAAGGGTAAAACACAGCAGCCAGCTGGTGCTGAGCCCCAAGAATGTCCATCCCCACCCTGTTCCTCTTCCTCCTATAGTTTGAAAAATTCATCCAAGAACCTGCAATGTCACAAACAGGAGCTGGAGCTAAACATGTCTGGGAAGACAAATTCCTTAACTGTTCAGTGCTGAAGGACATGGTAGGTAACATTAACTTGGCTAATTGTTTACTTGCTTAGCTAATCTAACATAATCTGCATTGATTAGATTTTGATTTCATGCTGGATGAGTATACTGCTTCTCTGTGCCTTTCAGTTAATTTGTGAACCGTACCAAAAAGACATTTTTATAACACGTTTAACGCTCCAAAGCTATGAGGGAACAGCAGCGAGAGTGAAGGAGGACAGCTCTGCTGGTATTAAAAGGGTCATTAAACTCAGCATTAGGTAAAGGTCTTGTTTTGGGTTGCTTCAACGTGCCTGATTAAAAATGAAGTGTAAGCAAAAGGCATTGAAGAGAAATATTCAAATGCAAAGTACAGTGTTGGTCCTTGTGTGTGTAATGATATAGAGTTTATGGGTGCTCACTCTCCTATTCGAGCTCCTTCCACAGTCTTTAAAGATCTCAAAGCCTCAGTTCATGAGCTCAGTACTCCAATGGTTTAAGGGTGAAATGTTATAACAAGCATAACAAGACTGCCATGTACTTAATAAATCCTAAATATTCACAGAGAAGAACAGAGGTACTTTACAGTCTAATGAAATCTATAAATATATAAGTTTTTGATCACTTTTCTGAATTTTGCTGCCATGGATCCAGAAAGCTCCCCAAGAGTTTATTTAAAGCATTTATTGCTTTCAACAGAAGAAGGAAGAAGCACAGAATTTGGTCTAAAGAAATTAAGTCAACTTTGATGGAGGTAATCAGCAGAAATATAGCTTTATTGCATTTATGCTACAGAATTTTGACATATAAACAATACTTTCTTCAGCACAGGAATTTAAAAGTCCTGTTCTAGCTAAAAATGAAAAATCTTTGTTGCTTCATGGGCCTTTAATGGGTGACAAAGTTCACGGCCATTACCTTGAAGCCTCCAGTTGAAATTTAGACTGATTGTGATTAAAAGTAATTTCTGTCTGACAGCTCATGTGAAGAGAGTTACTTCATTTCATAACAAATATGTGACCAACAGCCTAAAAATTATTATCACAATTTAACAAGACCATTGGCAGTTCCAGGAGCACCATGGATAGAAGGAAGTCAATCCTGCCTGTCTGGGGTTGAGTGAAATCAAGGTGGGGTAGGGAAAAAAATCAGAAGGAAGTATATGAATGTTGTAATTCTTCTGTGGAAGAGCTTACAAATTTAATTGCCTGAGCCTCTTTGTAGAAGTAAATTTACCTATTTCCACAGACAAAGCTGCTGGCTGGCTAACCTACAATTTTTGCTCCCCAGAGCTGACTTATCTAGTGTGGGAAAAAAAAAAAAAAAAAAAAAAAAAAAAAAAAAAAAAAAAAGGAAAATGAGCATTTTATGTCATGGCCATTTGGGAAGGAGGTGATTTTCTTCAGATGATAACATGCCTTTTTCTGTCATAGGAGGGCAATGCTAGCAAATATCAAAACCAAGGTTCAGTTGCGTGGCTCAGTTAAGTCCCAAAATTAGGTGGGATGAGCCAAGCCTGAGATTGCTCTTCTGCAACTACTGAATGACAAAGACTTTCCAACATAGCTTCTATTGCCTAATTCGATATAGATTCTTCTATTCAAATAAAACTGAAGAAGCTATGAAGCAAAAATATAAGCCTATATTCATCCAAATTTTTAATCATTTTTGCTCATATCTGAGAAAAGTTCACTGGCTTTCCTGGAGTAATTGATGTGTTTATAAAAAAGGCATTTAAAGGACTCAGAAAGCATGTTCATAAAATACAGATTTCAGCTCTTCCTAAATAAATGTGCTAGGCAAAATGTTTGCAGACATATCGATCCAGGAACCTGAAATGCAAAGCAGCTTCTCTGTCCAATCACAGCTAAAAGTATTCATATCATTTAGCAGTAATAATCAGCTATTAAATAATATTTAAGAAGTAGTCATTGCCTATTAGTGACAATCCTGGGAAGGGAAAGCTAGTGTGAATTAAGGCTACTGGCAAAGGATGCCTTCAGCTTTATTGTTCTAGCTAATTCTCATGGTGGCACTGCTTCATGCTGTTGTACTATACATACAGAATATGGGAGTAAATCCAATGAAGTCACACTTGAAAACCCTTATTTTACTGCTGGGGTTATTGCAGATCATATAGTACAAAGAGTCCAACAGAATAATGATTCATTCACACACACACAAAAAAGAGCTAATCTTGATAACCCAAAGTAAATTATTACTGTGGCATGAGTAATAGGTGTGTATTTATTTATCTATACACATGCATATATAATAAGGATCTATGAACTGATTTTTACAAAAAAATATTAAGATAGAAATTGTATATAATTGATGATTGAATTTTTTATTTTGACTTGGGGAAGCTTTAAATTATGAACTTTTCACATTTGATTTTTTACACTGGAGTATGGTTAATATTTTTCTCCCTATGCAGGTCCCACTGTTTCTTGGTCAGATCAGGTTTTTTGTTGTTTCATGGGACAAGTTCTGTCCTTTGGTGAGTAAAGCAGGATTGATTTCAGTCAGAAGTAATGTGTGTGTGCACCCAAGAACTGGCTTTTGTTCTGTATGAAGCAACCACTCTCACTGATTTATGCCCCACATTTTCAAAAATGCAATAATAGCACTGCATTGTCTAAATCAGGAATGTGTACATTATCCTAAAAGTTGAGATGCAGGAGAGCAGAAGAACACCTTTGTCAGGTCAAGAAACGTGATTATTTCCATGGCTACCAGCAGCTCTTAATTGCCATAATAGGCTCTTATTCGGGGAGAAGTAGTTAGGTTTGCACAGAAGAGTGAATAGGTACTTTATGAAAAAACCATTAACTACAGAGAAAAGTTCTCAAAGTAGAACTGAAATATGGAACAAAATACAGGCAGCTGCTTGGCATCTCCAGAAATAGTACACAGGGTGTTCTTAGTCATCCATGTCTTCTATAGGGAAAACAACACAAATATCCCATTAAAATATTTAATTACTGTAATACTCCTTATTACCAACTAAACATAAATAAAAGTATTAGATCTCCAGTCTCCATCTTGTGGTTCCTATTGATTTTTAATACAAAACTTCTAGACAATCAACACAATGTTATGTAAAAATAAACCACCTCTGCTTGTGGACTCTACTGGTTCCCAGTTTGTCACTACTAGAAAGCTATTCCACTGAGGATGTGGGGAAACAGTGAATGTCTACAACTGTGACACTGAAAAGAATAATAGCTGACCTTCATAATAAATAATGTAAAACATGAGCTCACTTGGCCTAGCCTAGATAAAGATTAATTTTGAATCTTTCATTCCCAGAGGCTAAAAGTGTTCTAACTTTAGGTTAAATGCTTTTAAAAAATGTTTTATAGTATAAAAGGTACTTGAAAACAAATATTGCAATCAAAGCACACAACTCCTGCAGCTGTAAATATCTGGAAGGCTTCATGAACGGACCAGTCAGTTACCAGTCAGTTATTGTAGTGCTTTGTGGTGTGATTTAAACCTGTGCTAGAAAGCTACAGATTCTAATGGTAGGGAGAGCAGCTCTCTGAGGACAATGGCTCTGGTGTTCAGCCTTGGAAGCTTAGAGAAGAAGCTAAGTTTGTTTTTAGTGTGTGTAGAAATGCTCATGACACCACCGATGTTTTTCAAGAAAATGGCATTCTAGGATCACAGAATCATAGAATGGAAGGGTCCTTATAGATCATCCAGTTCCAACCCAGGTGATTTTGAACATAAAAACAGATTAAGCTGTTCAGGGAATCAGAATATTTGAAAACTGCTTTTGATCCTTCTTTTCAAAAATATTACAAATCTACTTGTTGAAGTGAGATTATTGAAAAATATGATTATACTCCTAATCTCACACCAAAGCTGCCTTTTCTTTTCAAATTTTGAGCTCATCAGAGCATAGACTATTCTGAATTTATATAGTTCCTGGCAGAGTGCAGGCCAGTTTTTGGCAGTTACCTGAGTTTTACCATAACAAACAACAACAGCAGCAGTGGGAATTCAGTCTTTGAGGGTGGAGGCTGCAGTGAATGTTTCTCATCCATTTGATTGTTGGGAAGGACCAGTGCAGAGAACATCAGTGTCTAATGCTTACACAACTGTAAGTTTAAACTTTACAGGATCTCTACACTAAATTTCACAAGTGCCACACAGTGGCTTTCAAAACAGGTTAAAAGAAGAGCAATTTTCCTCATCGTGAAACAAAAGCACTAAAGCACCTTGTGATTGTAATACAGAGAAAAAAAGATGGTACTGAGTGACGCATCTGTCTCCCAGGTCTTGAAAGGAAATCCAATGTTCTTTGGATTACCTAGTGCTCACTTGGGGCATTCAATCTAAACAGTCATTTCAGACTTTTACAGACAACAATACAAAATACTGTGCAATGATAGACAAGAGCTTTTGATGACAAAGAGCAAACAGACAGGGAATCCTTTCAGGCTCACAATATAGATAAAAGGACATTTTTGTATTTCCAAATGATACTCAAGGCTCAGGTGTTGCAGACAATACAAAAATAATGTAATATTGCTTCTCTCCAATGCGTTTTTACTTCTGGAGTTAGTTCACCTATATTGATTCACTGATGGTCCTTATTCTCTATCTGCCTCACACACCCCCTTTCTTAAGAGGTCAGTGCACAATATAAAGATAATACTGAACCTAGGAGGAAAAAAGTAAGGTTATTTGTGAGGCTAGGGTTGAAATTGCCTCCTTGCTCCATTTAGTTCTTTAAGAACATAAAGCAGAAAATTCCTTCATGCCTTGTTTTCATTGTCTGTCATATTTGATGACTTTTTTCCCAGAGCAAATAAAGAAAACATACCTGTTACAATGAAGTTCTAATCAAGTATTCTGCATATTGGTTGGGGAAGAGGAGAAAACTGAAAGAAAAAGAAACAGGAATAGATATACCTGGTCCTCCTATGTAACAGACAAGTATTGTTTCCAAGAGTTTTATTTACACACAATTTTTAATGGCTTCAGAGGACATTCTCTTGAGGCATAATTTCAGACATAAAGCTTAGAAGAAAATTTATAAACTCAAAGGTGATTCCTGCAGGCAACACACACTGTTTAGGTTGTGCCCAATGAGCATGGCCTCAGTGCTGTGAGTTAGAGCTGACACAAGCATAGTGGCATCACTGGGGCTCTTTACACTGACCTCATGGGCCTTTGGTCAGTCTTTTGCATGTGAGTGGCCTGGGAAACAATAGCCACAGACTGACACTGAGTATCTAAATGGAATGTAGAGCACATGACAAAAACTGGCATTTTAATTCTGCTGTTACTCCAGAATATGAAAAGCAGTTAGTGCTAATCCTAGAAGTTGCTCCCTAGGGAGTTTCCTATATACCTTCTTAGAACATTAAGTCCTCCATGAAATAATTCTTTGGATCATTCTTTTAAAAATTGCTTTTTCTTACTTTCTTTATAAAGTAAATTGTAATGGAAAGTGATTAATTGCTCTTAAGTTGAACCTCAGAACACGACACCCACTTACAACTGGATCAACAGAATGAAATGCAATAGTACACTCTAGTCAATCATAGAGACCAGAACAGGGAGAGATATTGCTAAATAAAGGCAAATCAAAAAAAGAGAAGTTTGATGTATTTTTTAGCAGTATATTAATTTTCCAGTTTATGCATTGATAAAGGTCATTGGTGACAGTGACTCATTATTGACTGATCAAAGGCCATCAAAGTCAGCAGAAGTCTCCACGGAGCCTCATTTGATCACTGCTGTCAGGTGCAAGCCAGTTATTTCCTTTCATAGACTTTGTCAGTGTGAAATCTGCTTTGACTGAGGTGAGTGTGAAGAGCAGCCCCCAAGACCCATCAGCATCCTCCAGGCCAGGCCCTTGGGTAGAGGGGAAGGCACTTTCAGGAGTATGAAGTAAGAGAAGATCAGTATCAGAAAACAGATCAGGTTGGTAGAAAGACTAAGATGCCTGAGGGGCACATAAGTGAGTAAGAAATGAGACAAATATGTACTCAAAGTAAAAATAAATATTTCTTTTTTTAACTAGAGGAAGATAAACATGGCCCCAGAGCCCAGGAGAGCTGCAGCCATCTGATTTTTACAGAGGCCTTTCATAGAACCATATTACCCTCCTGCTTGTAAAGAACATTTCAGTCCTCCTTCTTTGGCCTTCAGTAGAAAATGTTAAAATCAGACCTGAAATTTGTCTTGAGTTGAGCATAATGTATCTCTGACACTAACTGTGAATTTTGGCCAAATACCTGCATACAGATGATAAACAGAAAGAACTGCTCTGTTCCTTCAGCTTTTCCTGACCCTTTCTCCTTTAAATGCCAACATTTTATAGGTTCTTTCCCCTTTTTTATTCTTCATAAAACCACTCTCAATCCAGCATAATTTTCCAGGCAAACTGCACACTTGTCAGATCACCTGATTAAGAGCCCTGTATTCATTATTATAAAAAACAACATGCTCACTGAATCATTAAAAAGCAGATTGGTCAGTAATAATAATCAGTTTTCTGCTAATAAATACAGCTCAGCATGCCTAATTCTGTGTCCTACTCAAATACCAACAATGAAGAATTTAGCTTTTAAAAAGTACATTACTGAATGTACTATTAGTGCATTGGTCTTTGTAAGGAACATTACTGCTGTCTTTAAAGGGCAGCCAGTTCATGTATTAATTATGTCACTCAAAGAGTGCACTGATTTCTTGAAAATCTCTTCATGCATAAAAGCAATTTGAATACTGTATATGGCTCAACCCTCTCAATCAACTGGGATACAAAGAAAGACCAAAGAAGTACTTGAGTTCAAGAGCTGGCATCAGGAATAGAAGCACAAGTAAATGAATTTAGTGCACTTCTCATCACCACATGTCTGCGGGGCAAACCCCTTCAGGGATACCTGGCAAATCTGGCCAGGAGGAACAAGCTAGCATGGTCACAGAGCACGGCTGCAGAGGGATATCATATGACACCAGGAAGTATTTTGAAATCTTCATGGAGAAAACGGTGGAGAAAGATTCATAGGGAGAGCTTGGATGTCTCCATGGGATCCAACAGCAGAAGAGTTACATCAGTGAGCTAATTTCCAATTGCATCAATAATACTGAGCAATTAATATGTTAGAGTATTTGTACTGTGCAACAAATCTCATGTTAAAATTCCATCCATATTCAGACTGTTGTCAGCTTTTAGTTGAATCCTACATCAAGTCTAGACCTCATGTTCTTGCTTAAGTAAGAACTTTTGGAAAATAATTATTCTTTCTACTGCTTTCAACCTCTTTTTTTGGAAGAAAATTTTATCTTCCAGCCACAATCCTCTCACTCTTATGCAAGGAAAGCTCCAAACCCCATAAAAACCTCCCCAAGGAAAGAACTGTATCATCCTCTCCTGCCTTTCTAATGAATTTCTATTTCTACAACAATATTTATAAAGAAATCAATCTGTAGGGATTTTCTCAACAGGGGTCAAGAGAATTTCCCATTCTGAAGCTCAAAAACTTCACTCTGCTAGAGGTTCAGCTGAAAGTACCTGGGGTTCGGGAGTGCTATCAACAATTATTCTGTGGAGCAAGCGTGCTCGGTGAAAATCCTTTGAAGAGGAAAAAGGTCAGGAAATCTGTCATTTTACAAGGATGATCTTAGTAGTACATAAAGGAGTTCTCTAGAATGTGAACTAACATCTATTGAGCAAAACAATAGGAATACAATTATTGAAATGCCACCAACTTCCTATAATTGCTCATTATTACTGTAATGCAGATTATTTCTTCAAAAGAAAAGCTCTCATTTTGATTTGAAAGGTTTAGTGTTTTGCTCCCTTCTCACTATAATGAATCTTTGACTCACAGGCTAAAGAAATTAAAGAGAGAAGGAAGAAACCAGAGAATGTGGGCAGACAGAGAAGAGGGCTTGATGTGAGAGTTCTAAAAGATACAGTTGGAAAAATCAATACAAAATTGCATATAGGCTTGGAAATTAAGTAAAAACTCAGAAAAGAAAAGTAAAAAACCCTAACCTCTTACTGCTAAAACACATAATTGAAAGCAAATTCTTTGATGAGATACTTAATATTTGAAAAAGTGATTTGTTTGTCCCGGCCCAATTCATTAGTTCTGAGCAAGTGCCATAGCTAAGAATATAAATTTCAGGAGTGTTCTTGTTTGGTGATAGGTGCTGCCTAATGGCAGGAAGTTATTTCCCTGCTCAGAAGCTGCTGGTTTCTGTGTGATTTAAAATGCCACCAGAAATAAAGGAATTATCAAGGCTTGGCCTTGATATATGAGCCTATTTAAATCCCTGGGGTAAGACGATGAGGACTACTCTTCCAAAACAACCTGAATGGGATCATTAAGCACTGCAATAATAGGCTGGAACTCATTCCTGCAGTTTAAGGATGAAGCTGTAGTGGGTGTGCTGGGAAGAGTTGCTCAATGACAGACAGCTGAGCAGAGAGGCTAAACAGGACCTGGGATACAGTGAACATTTCAAGCTGCTGAAAGGCTGCAGATGGAACTGAGTGTCCACCAAACATTCCTCCCTGATTCATGTCAAATACTTGACATGTGTTAAAAGAATCTGGTTGCTCAAAGGCATCCTTTGGGGAGAGCTATTTCTTCTATGGCTGATAGTCCAAACTTGCATGCCAAAGCTAGGGATCAAGGTCCACAACCATTCTGTACCTCTGAAACCAAAACCACCTGCACCTTTGGGAGCTCATGAAATGGAGGGAATTTTTGTTTGGATGCTCTTTTACTTTATTTCACAGAGAATCACTGAATTTTCTGAGTTGGAAGGAACCCAAAAGGATCATCAAGTCCAAGTCAGGAGTGAGTGACCCAAACTGAACCCACAACTTTGGTGTTATTAACACCACGCTCCAACCAACAGAGCTGATCTCTTACCTACATGGAAAAATAAAGGAGGAGGGTCTTATTCAATGGGGCTGGAAAGACAAACACCACACCACAGAACCCCATTGTTTCCTGGAAAAGCTGCTCCTTACAGGGTGTATGGACACTAAAGAGGCAGAGTGGTAACATTGCTCTTGGAAATACACTGGGCACTAGCGCTGAGCTGCTCTGGAGCACTTGAAAACTGACATAAATTATTTAACCCTAGACAAAGAAGAGAAAAAGGGTTCTAAGGCTATCTGGTCTCTAACTGCTTTGATACAATATTTTGCCATTTATTTTGTACATTCCTTGAGATTTCTAGTAAAATCCCCAGCATAAATCATGGTAAACTTAACTCTGTCTTAAATCATCAGAACTCTGGTGGTTTTATTACAACAGCATCTCCTTGGACTTGGTCCTGTGAGGTTGACACTAATTGATCCTTTGTCATTAACAAGCCTCACTGTACAAATACTGAAATCCAGAGTCCCCATCCTGCAAACATACACATGGATTTGTCAGCTCATCATATGCACTGTATTAATATGGTGCCCAGGTAAGAAGAGGTAAGAAAGCAGATAAGGTTATAAAGATTTTTCTTGAATGTAAACAAGCATATCAAACATTATAAGAGAAGAATCAAAAGGAAGGGGTAGGAGAACCACAGTTGGCTGCCTGAATGCAATAGGTGTTGGGTCAAATTACTGCTCTCCTCTGAGAGATGTCTGATCTCAGAGGTGACTCCCTCTGCTTTCTTACTGGGTAGTTGAAACCTTTTAATAAAAGCATGATAAATAACCAACAGCAAATATTGTTCTTCTGCTTTGTGTTCTTGTTTGAGATTTAACTGATAAAGTTCACAGACAATTGTCCAAGGCCTGGTGAAGAACTCCTTCTCCAGCCCGACTAAAGACAGTGGAGAACTTGTGATGGTCTTCAACCATCTCTTTTATTTTGTCCCCTAATACATGGCATGCACTGAATACTTTTTAAGAGATACCTTTTCTGATAGGTCTTCCCCTTCTTGAACAATTGCTATGTAATAAACTATTTTATCGGTTTTGCTTACATACTGTATTTCTAGAAACAAAACAATAAATGGCTGTAAAACCAATAAAATGTACCAGGCTAGTGGTTTATTACAAACAAGCCAATACCATACACTGCAGCATATTTTTCAGCTCGATGCACCAGGATTCTTATTGTCCAGGTGAGTGTTCCTGGCTGTAAATTCCAGCACTATAGCTCTTTTCCAGCGCACTCTAAAACTTCTTTAGGTTGATGTGCCTTAAAACACTCCTAGTCCTTGGACAAATTTATGGGGAGGATAAAGCCTAGTAGTCTTATGCCAAGGTGTTTTTAAGTTTGCCAGCCACCCTGGAAGCAATTTGGGATGCTACACAGGGAGCACAGACTGCACAGCTGTCTGGCATCCCTCAGCATCCCTTGAAACAGCCCTGGGCTGCTTCCAGCGAGCTGGAGTGGGCAGCAATAACAGAGTCAGGGAATCACAGGGTCCTGGAATGGTTTGGGTTGGAAGGGACCTTAATCCTTGTCTTCTTCCACCCTCTACCATGGGCAGGGACACCTTCCACTAGACCAGGCTGCTCCAGCCCCATCCAACCTGGCCTTGAACACTTCCAGAGATGAGGCAGCCACAGCTTCTCTGAGAAACCTGTGCCAGGGCCTCACAAACCTCACAGGGAAGAATTTCTTTCTAGTATCTAATCTTAATATACCTTCTCTCAGCTTGAATCCATTACCCTTTGTTTTGATCCAGACAATGGACTATTTACTAACTTGAGTGGTGGTTCCCAAAGCCAGAGTTCTGGCTTTTCTGAGTCGTTCCAGCAATGCTCATACTTACTGCAGCTTTGAATAAGACTAATACTGAATAAAAAAGCTTCAGTAAGACTCTTCAGCATGTTTCCTCTAATTTTTACTGTTCATTTTCTTCAGTCATTGCTCACTGTCCCAGAAACAAACTTCTTTGGCAAGGACCTCTTGGAAAGGCTATCCAGCATATCTCAGTGCAGTGCTTCTAATGTAAAGTTTATCACACTGTAGGGCCACTGTGCTCTACACCAGCCAATTTGTCAGAACCAACTTCTTCACAAGGACAATCACTCACCCAGGGCAGGTGTCCAGGGGCTTGAGACTCAGCTGGCTTTGCTCCTGCTGGTGTGAGAGCCCACAGTGCAAACCAAAGCATGAGCACACAACTGATACCATGATTTCTTACGATGCCCTGTTTTTGTGAGCTCAGGGTTTGCACCTGTGAAACTGGTAGAGTAATAATATGCACACATTCAACAAAATGTACATCCACTAATTAAATCAACTCACTTTTCTAACTGCTGCATAAAGCAAGTAGCTGTTTTCTGAGGAATTTACACACTATTAATGCAGCTGGTTTTTTTGCTGAAGCAATCGCCAGTGATCTGCAGCACATGTGAAGTGGCCATAGATTACTGGAATACATTTCCTTAGCAACTGTTGGAGTAATTTCATGCCCAGGAGAAAGCAGCTTTCCTAATACACCTCAATCTTATCAGCAGCCCTTGGAGCCATCACGACTCACTTGTTAGTCTCTGACAAGCACAGTGTGACAAGAACACATTTGGAACAATCCTTTCCTAAACTCTGGGGGTCACTTTATCATGTTATGATAAAGATCAGATCCTTTTCCTTGTCTGTTTACTGTAAGAGCTGATCATTCCCAAATGAGGAATTCTATATTTTTTTTGACAACTCTCACTCAAAATCACCAGTGACTAAAACCAATACTGAGCACAGAAGGCAAAAGTATTTCAAGACTGGAGATGACTTCTGAGTCCAGATACTAATATTACTTTGGTCAATATTATAATTTATGCGGGAGGCATAGTTTTTCCTTTGCCACAAGTGGCTTTCCCATGTATAGGTGCTGGTTTTCTTAGCATATGGACAACCCAGCCTGTGAAATCCTAGGTCTTCAGTCCCAGCTCCCACAGCATGTTACAAATATACAGATGGATTGTAGAAAATGGGTCACAGGAGGAAAGTTTTCTTAAGAGAAAATACTTTTAGTATTAATGTTAGGCAACAATTTTCATGCTCTTTTCTGATTCTCACCTTTCATTTCAGCTTTCTGTTGAAAACAGCTTAAGATCAAATACACTTGATCCTATTATACAGAAATACATGCTCGGCTTGCAAGTGATCTCAGCAGAGTGCAATTAGGAAGACATAAATATGATAATGAAGCTGTTACATCACATTTTTCTAGTTTGATACTGTATGAGCTTACTTTATTTGTCTATTTATAGGCTTTGATGCATACGTTGATGTAAGAAGATGGGTTTATTCCTTGCCTTGGCTGATATAGCAGGAATAGCTCCTCTGCCTCTTCTTTATTCTCATAAGCCATGTTATGGGTAACCTCCACAAATGCCACTCCAGCAGTGTGTTCTTAAAGCCAGAAGAGTTTTGAGGGAAACCCATTTCAAAGCTAAAGATCCTCCCCAGTATTTACCATTGCCTTAATCTGTGAAGTCAGCCTGACTCCCCTTTGACAAAAAGTGCTGTTGCAGGGTGACATGAAGTTGTGGACTCTCAGGCAGCTGAGGACTCTACAGCCTGACATGAGGACCTGAGCTTTGGTAAAATCAATAGCAGAGAACTGACTCAACCATTGGGACACTTGTGGCATTTGCTCTCACAGGAAAAGCCCTGCTCGACTGATGCCTGTGACACTGATGGAAATGCAGCCTTGCACTGGGAAGATCCTTCCCCACTGCTTTTTACAAAACTTCAAGTAAAGTGCACACAGTTCTGCAAAGGAGGAAAGAAATCCTCAAGGGCAGAAATGTCACTGAAGTGAGCTTAAATCACATGAGTGATAACTCCACTGGGAGAACAGCAGACATCAGTCATCTCTGTGCTTGCTTAATATCCTCTGTTTCAGAATATTTCTGCTGTCAGTAATTTTGCTCATCTGCTGGGCAGACAGGACGATGAACAGAATTGCTCTTAGCAGACTAAAGCTATGGACCACTGCAAACAGTCTTTAACAAGAGCACTTGCAAAGGACCTGAGACTGATGATTCATCATTTTTC